GAGCCGGACTGTATTGTATTACGGTCTATGCTTGAAGAACATCACTAGAGGCTTGGTCCGATCTGGATTTGAATCCCGATAGTCTTTAATATAGTACAATTTTGCTTCCAGTTCAAAAGAGGAAAAATATCATATCCACAATTAAATTCCTCAAAACTGAACTCCAGTAAAGGTATAAAAGGATTCCATAGTGAATGTATTTAAGTAAGTTAAAGTGCTCATATTGGTTGACATTTGACACACTTGTGTGTCCTTAATTAATTAATCTCATCATGTCAAATGACAAAATGTATTTAATTCTTCCTCTCAATAACTTGTAACAGGGTTCAGATGAACAGCAATAAAGACAATAAGTACAATAGAGGATTTGAAATTAGTAGTGTAAAAGTATAAAGACCCCAAAAAGGAAAATAGTGCTAGTACTTCAACATTTGACTTAAGTCAAAGTGCATGAATAAAATAACTTTATTTACCACCCCTAAGTGGGGTCAGTAAGACAAAACCGAGACAAATCTTTGAGCTTTTTTTTCTGATCCACATTCTGGAGACTTAAATTACACTTATTTAAGATCATTTAGAGATCTCATCTTTTGATCAGAGTAAGAAACAGATTATTAGTTAGATTATGAGTTATTTTGCTCCTGAGGTCACTATGAGGCAACTGAGACAGATGAATCATGAGATCCCAGGAGTCATAGCTGAATTTTCTTTGAGCCCTTTCTCTGATCTCATGGTCCCATGACCAAAGGCCTGGTATTTCTCCATTGTATTTCTCTGTTTTCTCTCTCTGTTTATACTTTCTCTCTTTCTCTTGTTTCCCCTCTGTCTATAACCACAGATCAACAGTGAAGATGATGACGGTGGTGTGGTGGTGGGAAAGTGGGCCAATTATTCAGATGGGGTTGATCCAGGACGGTGGATCAGCAGCACAGACATTTTGAGCCAGTGGGCAGAAAGTGGCCCCGTCCGCTACGGCCAATGTTGGGTCTTTGCTGCAGTTGCATGCACAGGTTAGAGCACAGGATGGAGTGCATGAGAGTCTTGGTTTGTTGTTTGTTTGTTGAAATTATTGATTCATTCTCTTTTATATACACATATGCTCATGTTATGCTGACACAATGCCACTTTAACAAAAAGAAAACCCTTGCATGCATTAAATTAAATTTGAAAATGTAAATAAACCTACCTAAAACTGTATATGGTACTTATCTTAAGCATTATGTTCGGAATAACAATCAGATTTATTGCCAAGTTGTTTTTACACATATAAGGAATTTGTTTTGGGTATTAGGTGCGCAACAACAATAAACATAAACCTATATAAATATGAAGATATCCAAGGGTCCCAGGTCTTGTTGATGAGGTCAGCTGCAGAGGGGAAGAAACAATTCATATGGTGTGAGGTTTTCGCCTTTTCTGCGGAGTGGATGATGCGCAGTCTGCCTTTTCCCTAGCAGTGGCAAGATCTGAAATCCACAAATAGGATCCTGCAGGTTCATGAGGAGTCTAGATGCTGGAGGATGAAGTGATGCAGGTGGTCTAGTGTGATGGATTTGAGGTGGGATAACTCATGGAGTTCAAATGTCTTCATTACCACAGAGTATAGGGCGACAGGTCTGCAGTCATTAAGTAGGTAGGTAGGTAGGTAGTTAGGTAGGTTTATTGTCACAATATAAGACATTATAGAGTGAGTGAGTGAGTGAGTGAGTGAGTAAGTAAGTCGTTAGGGCTTTAGGTTTACAGTTGGTGATCCGTCCGAAGCCCCTCCAGACAGAAGCAGAGTTGTTTGCAGAGAACTGGTGTTGTAGTCTCTGTGTAGGCCTACAGTTCAGTTTCTTGAAATTATATTGTAATATGCCACACAAACCAACTTTTTTTTACCAAACCCTTACATTTAGAATCTTTTTTTGTTAGTCTTATTGTTACTCTAGTAATCTGGTGTGATGAATTGTGGCTCTCCCCCAACCTCCAGTGTCCCGTGCCCTGGGCATCCCATGTCGAGTAGTTACCAACTTTGAATCGGCTCACGATACTGACGGCAGCCTGGTGATAGAATATCTGTTTGATGAAGATGGTGAAACAACTGGAAATGATTCGATATGGCAAGTGTGTGGTAGTGATTATTACCATATCGTTACACATACACTGTATGCATAAGCACAACAGTCTCTTTTGATCCACTGTTTTTTAAAATTATTTCTTTCATTATCTTCTGTTTTTCCTACATGATAGAATGAACCTTTGTTTTTTATGCATTATTTGAATGGTTGAAGCAGAATGGTAATCTCATTGTCCTTTATTTGACAAATTTTACCAGGAACTTCCATGTTTGGGTGGACAGCTGGATGACTCGTCCTGATTTGGGCCCGGAGTTTGATGGGTGGCAAACCAGTGACCCAACCCCACAGGAGACAAGTGAAGGTAAACTATGATTTTTGTTTTTGTGTTGTTTGTCCTGTTTCAAACTAAAAAAACAGACAATCAAAAAGTTTCATTTTACAAGAGCAAGTCCTACACGTGATACTGTGAACTGGCTATTTTTATACTGCCTTGGCAGAAATTTACAAGAGACAAAGTAATGTAAATACTTTAACTGTAACTATATCAAAACTTTTACTAAGATTGGTCATATGGCCAAGTCACGGTATTTAACCTTGGTGGTTAGTTTCAGTTTCTGACAGTAGTCCCAGGTTTGGTCAGCTTGTGTTTCGCAAATTCACATGACTCATCTCAAGAATGTTCTCCTTAACACAGTGTGTGTAGCTGAAATCTGCTGACATGAACCCTGTCTCTGCTTGTGTGATGCTATAAGGTCTTTACTGTTGTGGACCAGCCTCTCTGAGGGCCATCAAGGAAGGAGAGCTGACCACAAAGTACGATGCTCCCTTTATTTTTGCTGAGGTGAGTTTTTGCTTAAACCTTAAAACACAGGAAATGTACACAGTACATATATTTAAGCTGGGTTCTATTGACTGTAAAGAGGGTCCAAGTCAGAGGTTTCCTTTAATGACAAGACCTGTTTCAAGCTAACTCACCAAATAGAAAATTATTAATTCTGTGTTCTGACAGATATTTTAAGGATGTGTTTGTGCAGATGCGTGTTTAAAAATATGTCTTTCTGCTGTTACTGGTTGTATCAGGTGCTTGTCATGCTGTTTTGTTACAGCATAATGACTATCGACTGAAATGTCTTCATAATCAGTATTATTCCATGTCATTTCATGTCGTGGATGGAGTCAGGTTAATGCAGATGTCGTGCAAATGATGTGCCTGCCAAATGGAGAGTGTGTCGAGATCAGATCAACTAAGTCTGTTGGACAGTACATCAGCACCAAAGCTGTGGGCTCAGACGACAGACACGACATCACACACCAGTACAAATATCCAGAAGGTATTGCAGAGTCACATGTGCACAGACACATGTGACTCAAAACCACACTCAAACTTATTCATATGTGTTTAAATGGATCCTAGTTGGATCTCCCAAATTTTTGATTAAACATTTTCCATTTAAACAGATTTGTCAGTGTGCAGGCGTGTTCAGTAGCCTTGCACCTACAGTACATGTGATGTGCGCATAATTGTCCTCCTTCTACTGTAATCACAGACACTCATTACGTACACACTGTATAAATATAGACACAGATGTTCAAATTAAAGATGTAGTCCTGTAGCATTTCTATTAAATCTATATGATGATGTTTTTGAAGAAGACTGTATTTGACAGAGGAGCTTAAACAACAAACACTGTTGTACTTACCTGTGATTTTGATGGTTTTCAGGATCAGAGGAGGAGAGGCGGGTGTATGAGAAGGCTCAACACCACAACAAGCTCCAGCAGCGAGGGGAAGAGCCGGGGCTCCATCTCAAGGTATTTATACATATACAGGGGGTAGAGCAAATACTCTAAAACACACCTATGAAAAGAACTTACTCTGAAGTAACTCAGTCAAAAAGGCAACTTCATCTGAGCTTGATTTGCAGGTGCTTTAGTCAAAAGAGCAGAGAAAAAAAGTATATGTCAGAGGGAACTATATCAGAAATAATGTCAATATATAGAAAAACAAGCAAACTGTGGCAAGAAAGAAGAACAATGGTCACAAGAAACATGTGGTTGTCAAATACTGCTAACTGGCATGTAACCTAAGATGAGCCACACATCTGTTTGCACTGGTGTTATGTTTACATCAAAGATAAAGTGTCCTGAAATAGAATCTTAATTTATCCTCTATTGTTATGTCTATGCTACATTAGCTTTGAAATTCATTTGACCTTAAACAACTTTATCACATTATGCTAATATTGTTCCAAAGATCACAGAATCATCCATTTCAACATACTTAAGCATAGCTGCTTATAATTAAAATATAGAATAAAATGATGCATTTATTTTATTGTATAGGCCATGAATTAAATGAAACAAATCATTTTATAATTCTCATTTGAGATCAAACTGGCTGATAACATGATCGTTGGCTCGGACTTTGAGGTGTCAGCTGTCCTCACTAACAACTGCATGGAGGCAAAGACCTGCTCCTTCCTGTTCTTCGCCACGGCTGTCAGCTACAAAGGACAGAGAGGGGAGCGCTGTGGATTTGTTTTAGACAAAGTGAAGGTGCCTGCTGGAGAAGGTTAGCACTGATCTTAATGCAAACACTTGAAACTACAATATCTGAAAGTATCTCCCATTGTTAGCAAGTGCAAATCGTCTTTAAGGTACCTCTGTGAAACAAGGTCTTCATCTGTCAAAAATGCTATTATAATGCTTGCATAGTAATTGTTTCAATAACCTAATTAATATGTATATAATGTTTGATCCTTTTGATCCCTGATGTTGATGACTTGTTCCAAACATTGATGAATATTTTTTAAATTTTATGATGTCTGCAACCCAATTAATTGTGTTGCTGTCTGTCCTTGCCCGGACGCTCTTGTAAAAGAGATTTTTAATCTTAGTGAGACCTTTCCTGGTTAATTATAATTATAATAATTATAATAATAATTTGTTTTTTCAGAAAGGCGTCTGTCCCTCAGACTGGAGTATGAGCGTTATGGATCAGTGATCACCTCTGACAGAATGATTCAGCTTACAGCCATCTCCACCGACAAGCAGACCATAGATTTCCATAAGGCTGAGAAGACAATTGTGCTAGATGAGCCAGTCATAAATATCAAGGTATGGGTGAAAACAAAACTCTCAAAATTTTTACATGGTCAAAACAAAACCTGAGTAGCAAGAAATTAAAAGCTCAAAGCAGAGCAGACATGTATATCAGTAAAATGTTTTTTCTTACAATGATTAAACTTACTGGCATAACAAAAGCATTTTACACATACATACACATTGCAGTACACAGTAAAACATGCAGTTATGTGGATAAGTTTGTTGTAGTATTTTAAAATTTTTATTTAATTGATTTTGGTGACCAGAGCCAGGCTGTTGCGGTAGGTTGATATGTCAGTTTGAGCAATAATTAAGGATGGCAGTTTGACCTCAGCCCCTTCTGCTTATATGTCAAGTGTGCATTATGTGGTAATTGTAATCCTTTATTTAATTGTACGGTTTATTATGACATCAATAACATTATTATACCACCTCTAACACGGTGAACACTTCTCTGCAGCTGGTGAGAGAAGCCACAGTGAACCAGTCGATGACGGCAGAGCTGACCTTGATGAACTCTTTACCAGAGTCGCTGCTGGACTGCAGCTTCACCATAGAGGGGATTGGCCTTACTGATGGCAAACCCATAACAGCAAAGTATGTCAACTCCATCTCAACTGAGCAGATATATGTCAGTTATTGATTTTAGCATTTGTATGCTTTCCTACTCTCGTCTGCAAACATACAACTCTTCCTAATTCTGTAATAGAAATATTATGACATAATATGCTGATTTGTGATTTGTAGTGAAATACAATCACACAATCATAGTGACAGTAAGAATATCTTAAAAGCTAAAATGGCATTTATACATTTGATGCCACCAAAACATATTCTCCTGAGCTGTATACATAAGAATAGAAAAGCTGAAAACAGAAACTTTCTCTCAGCTGATTTTTGGCTGATGATGCTCATTGAATGTTGTGCATGATTCTTGCAGGATTGAAGCTGTGGGGCCAAAACAGGAAGCCAAGGCCAGCATTGAGTTCAGTCCAACCAGAGCTGGCACCAGCGTGCTGCTGGTGAACTTTGATAGCGACAAACTCAAGAACATCAAAAGCTTCATCAATGTTGTTGTGAAGGAATAAGCCAGAACACAAAGCCTAACAATAGTACTTGTTTTTAAAAAAAATATTTTTTCTTGAGTAACTTTATTACCAAATAAATATTCACTAATCACTATAAACAAATTCATTTTACTTGAATGATTAGAATGATGCATTTATTTTGATTTGATTACATTTAATACATTTTAACCCACTGCTGCCTAAGCTGGATAAAGTAGTTGTTTCTTTAAGGGAGTAATGCTTCCTAACCTCTGTTTAGGTTATTGGTGATGGAGGAAAAAATCCAATTTGCTTACCAAAAAATAAAATTTTGATTGAATATGATTTTGAGGCTTGGTGTAATTTGTTGTCTTGTGGTGGGTTTATGTACCGCAGAGTGGAAATGCCTGGTAAAATTCAGGCTTCCATGACCAGCTGATATTTTATCGTTTTAGGTTAATATCACTCACTTATGATAGCCACAGTGTTGTGTAGCACTCACTTAAATTAAAAACAAACCTATATATCAGTAACACATGCAATCTGAGATGAAGTTAGGCTGCAAAGCCCCAGGCTTAGCCACCTTCTTATTCAAGTTTAATATATAAATTCATACAAACTGATAATTAATTGCAGTGGTTGACATGAAAGATAATAAATTCAAACTCCTGCCGGTGTCTCCACCCAGACACAGGATTTGCTGTTCTAATTTCAGTAGTTTAACTTTAAAGGGGCATTATGGAGTTTCACCAGGTGTGCTTGTACGCGTGCTCGCTTGAACTCTTGAGCGGGCATAATCCAAAACACAACCACTTGCCGGCTGTGGCTTTATATACAGACATGTTCAGGCTCTGTTACTTCAATGTTCGCGGCTCAGAGGCAGATCAACACCTCCTCCTTTCATTCAGCGCAGCGAGCTGCATATCGGCACAATACTCCCGGAAAGAAGGCAGTGTGACAGTGTCTATAGACAGACGAGCAGACAGCTTCATGCTGGAAACTCAGGTAAACTCCCACTGTAACGTTACAATAATGTTTTTATCAGCTTGAGGTTGAACTAATCCATGCTCGTTACATGATAACAGTACATTTCCTGCATTGAGCCGATGTCCTACATCATCATTAGCTCGGCTGCTGCTTTTCAGTAACTAACATTAATATCTGTGTATCTTTCACTGGAGGCTCAGCAACTAAAACCCAAAAACCATGAATGGTTGGTGTGGACTCATCTGTAAAAATCTAGTGAGGCAGCTCTGAATAGGCCACAAAGTTCTGCTGACATGCTTATGTAAATATGTGCATGTTTATCATAATCAAAAATCAAAAATACTGTATCTGTGGCTGTGGCAGATCTGTAATATACACGGCTGCCCTACTTGCCTACATGTGCACTCACTGCACATAAAAATATGCTTTGGGGGAGTGGCTTTGGAGGGAGGCCTTAAGGGAGGGGGTGGGATATTTTCAGATGGATACTTTCAAAATCTACCCGTCTCTTGCTAGCTCTCCAGCATTACCTACCCCAGAGTAAAACCTCTAGGCTGTCAAGACGCCCAACGTCGAATTTATTGCTTACAAAATGAATTAGGAACAGAATCAAATCAGTTCTCTATGTAATACCTCACACTGGCTGGAGCTACCTAGTGTTTGTGTTGCATGTAACACACATGAAATAGATTTTCAGTCAGAGTCATGAATGTTAATGCTGTTGTCAAGTAAGAATAAAGTCTAATTTTGTCTGCTTGTGTCAGCTGTCTTTTCTTTCAACGTTCAACACAGAGGTCAAAGGTCACTGGGGCCTAAAAAATATTTGAAATACCCAGAATGAGTAGCACCGCTGTAGTTTCATGCATGCATAGAAACATTTATTTACAGAACAATGTAGCTCATAAGCGGATGGAGCTTCATCACTCCACTTCATCCTCCGCCTCATCGGAGGATTGCAGGGAGTGTCGAGGGGCAGCATACTCGGCTATGTTGGGAAGTCCATACACCACGCAACAGCTCAGGGCGCTACGGGAGATCTCCATGTCACAGACATCAGACCATTCACCAGTTTCAACATCAAAGCACTCAATGTCAAAGGTAGTGGTGAAGCCGTTGAAGCCCCCGACCACAAAGAGGCGGTCATCGATCACTGCAATGCCAAAGTTACTGCGGGGGCTCAGCATGGAGGGCACAGCACGCCAGGTGTCAGTGTGGGGGTTATAGGCCTCAGCCGTGCGCAGACGGCTAGTTCCATTGAAACCGCCAACCTATAAGAGAAGAGGTGAAATATGAAGTCAGGACTGCTTCTACTATTTTTCTATATTTTTGGTCTTATTTCATAGTCAGCCCCCTTGTAAGGAAAGGCACCTGGCCTCAATACGTGCCTTAAATAAAGTTATGTAGGATTAAGGGTCAAAAGTAGCAGTAGACAGCTGACACAACTGTTTTTCTTCCTAGAAGTTTGTTTTCAAATTTGACAACTTTCCAGCCAAAATATTACATGTTTTTTTTATTTTGCACAACATTTTATTCAAGGCCGTGTGGGGTCTACTTCTTGAAGACAATAAGACACTGAAACTGTCCATTGAAACCCAGACAAAAAGATTTCCCAAAGCACAAACTGACAAATTTGTCAAATTTGAACCGACCAATGCTCCAAACCCCCCAAAACATTCAGTTGACTATCATGGGAAACAAAAGAAGCAGCAAATCATCACACATGAGAAGCTGGAACAAGTGTGATTTTCTGCTTGAAAAGCAGATGAAAAGATAGAATATGTAACTTTTCTGCATTAAAATGTCTATGTTATATATTTTCTTGAGGTGTGTACTTACAATATCCCAAATGTTTCCAACAAATTTCAAACCCAGTTTGTTTTTTAATCAAGGTAACGGTGCGTTTCCTTTGGTTGCCTGACAATGGTGTCATGTCCCCTTTCGCATGCGTTAGGATTGTAGTTGTCTTCCAGAAGCTGATATAAATTGACTCTTTTCCGGTTTAAGCCTTATTTTTATGATGGAATCTTACGTCTGAGAAACAAACTGAGCAAATACTAGCAGCAATCTCAGTCTCCTGTGTCCGCTGAGCAGTGTCAGAGAAATGCTGATTTTTTACGTGAAACTCCTCTATTCAGTTTTTCCATTTGATTCTATTTGTTTTGGAGAGGAGGAGACCTAGAAGATAATTCAACAGTGAAGAAATCCTAACCGGGAGAAGCTGACTACAGTGAAGCCAATTGCCCATGATCCCATGCTACTTCCTAATGTCATCAAACTATCTCTTTTTGTATTGTTTTCAATTGAGAGACCTCTAGCAGCAAAAATTCTATGATATTTTGCGATTAAAAGATAACTCGAAAAATTATTATTTCAAGTACTGTAATCAGTTTCAGCTCTAACTAATTACATCAGTACATTATTGCCTTCAATGTAAAAGGTTTTAGGGATGAACCTCATATTGAAACGTTTAATGCTGACTTGACTTGTAATGAAGTCAATCTGAAACCTCTGCAAAAACATATTTTCATGACTCTGTGTCTTGTTACGGTGTTATGTGAGTATCAGCAGTGTTCAATGTGCTTACTGCAAAGACGTGGTCTCCATAGGCGATGACCCCAATTCCACTGCGCCTGCTGCCCATGGAGGCTTTCAGGGTCCACTGGTTGGTCTCTGCGTTGTAACATTCAACCGATGACAGGCAGTCTGTCCCATTGAAGCCACCACAAATGTACACCTGAAAAGAATTAAAGAGGTAATAAGTAATCTTTGGAAGACTACATTAACATAGTATTTGGAACAAAATGGATTTTCTAAATCTATTTAAATAATCTAGTGAGGTTGGTTCAATTTAACTTCATGTTTTTCTATTGTCGTCAATAGTAGAAATGTGCAACGTCTGTGCTCTCCCTGCCCAAACACAGAGCTATCTTACTGCTCTGTAGCTCCACCCACCTTGCCATGGAGGACTGTACAACTGGCGTCACTCCTCTGCTCGTGCATGGGCGCAATTAAAGTCCACTGGTTGGTACTGGGCTGATAGCGCTCTGCAGTTTGGAGTCGATGATGTCCATCATAACCTCCCATGGCGTATATGAACCCGTCCATCACAGTTATGCTGACATAACAGCGGCTCGAATGCATTGGTGCCACCTCCTGCCAGGTGTGTGTGCCCAGGTCAAACCTGTGCACAGTGCTGAACTGTTCAACGCTGTCAAAGCCACCGACACAGTAAAGTGATCCATTGAGGAAAGCAGCACCATGGTAGGCCCGGGGAGTCTCCTCACTTTTGGTTACACTGACCCAGCGGTCAGCACGGACATCGTATGCCTCGATGCAATTGATGGGACTGCCGCCACTCCAGCCTCCCACAGCTAAAAGGATGGCAGGGGGCAGTCGTGGGCGGGCCAAAGAGTTACAAATAATAGAGTCAGAGAACCTTCTTGTTCGGAGGTCAAGCATGTCCTCCAAGGTCTTGACAAGAATTGGTCGACACTCTTCACTTGCCTTCACCAGTTCGTTTTCTGTTACACTGTCTATGATGTATTCTGGATTCATCAAAGCCAGCCTGACCTACACCGAGACACAAGGACAGACGTTGATTTTAGCTTTTCACAGATAAATACTTTTAGCACTTCAGCCTTTAGGTAACAAAAAAATTATAGAACAGAAATGTCAAACATACATTTAAGTGTGGCAAGTTCATAGTTTGTCCACTAGAGAGCACTGACAACTTTATTTTTTGACTCAAATTTGCTGCTCAGTAATTCTTTTTGTCACAATTTTTGAATTTTAAAAATTGCTAATTTAAAGGATACTTATCGAAAATATTTGTTTATGTTATGTGATGGCCACATAATATATAATTATTGTCAAATAGTCAAATATCCATGCTGGCCTAAAAATTCTGAAAAGATTTGTTAGGGACATACTTTGGAAATACATTTTATTCTAATATTTTTTACATTGTTTACCTGGAGGCTGTTTACACACATATTTACAGTAATTCATGAATTTAACAAAAAAAAGATATTTACATGTTTAAGGAACTTTACCTGATGGTAACATTTCTCAAATGTTGACTCATAAATTCATAAAAATCCTATCTCTTCATATGAATTAACTCATTAAGTATTTGTAAAGAAAAGAACACCATTTATTGCCTAATCTAGAACACAGCTCAGTGTTTCCTGGTCTTAGTTTTGATTTTGTCTTGACCACTTCACATCTGTCTTGACTAATCACCTGTTCTTGGAAGTGTTGGAGACATACTAGGGGGGTTTTGACCATGGCCCTGATCATGCTGTTTGAATTCATGACAACACCATTAGCAAGACATAAAAAATGAAAATCAAAAGTCTATGTAGTGGCGGCTGAGTAGTTGTCCCTCACTTACTTTAGGCAAAAGCAGAGAGATGTGTTCTCTGCGTTCCTCAGGTGCATAGGCAATCCAGCGAAGGACGGCCTCAAACACCATCTTCTCATTTTTCACAATAAGTTGGTCATTCTCAATGATTTTAGCAAGTTCCTCCACAGAGAGCAGCAGGAACTCTTCTGAGGTGGCAGCTACCTCCTCAAAGTGATTCAGCATGTAGACGTAGGCCTTGTGCTTCAGTTCAGGGTTGTAGTAGATGTCTGTGAACCACCAGATGCCAATGCAGTTCTGTGGGGCCAGCTGCTCCTCAAGGAAGTCACTGCAGGCTTGTATGATGCCCTTTACATTGAACCGGTCCGCTGCTATAAAAAGGTCTTGTACATTTTCTTGTGTCACAGGAACAAAGCCACTGTAGGCAAATTCAATGATGAGCTTCATCATGTCAAGTGACACATTGGGAATGTCAAAGATCCGACTGTCTGGGGTTGACCAGTGGGTAAAGAGGGCTCTGTGGGCCAGGAAGAAGAAGAAAAAAGCACTTTAAAATAAAGTGGTCCACATTTTCTCCTCATACTTATACTTCATAAATGAATAATATAAATATAAAGCCCACATTTCACTTTTCAGAACAGATAACAACAGACCAAAACAACAAGTGCAAGTGTATTAAAGCTCCATCCAGCCTCTGCGCAGATTGACCTTTTTAAAATCAACTTCAGTTCCCAGAAAAGATGATGTTAGTAATCAGTGTATAAATGTCACATCATCGTCATATTATAGTAAACTATAATAATAATAATAATCTGAAAGAAAATTTTGCTTTAAACTGCAATTATTTTGAATGTGTGCAGATAAAGACCTTCACCTTTAAAAAAACATTAGCATTCTTCTAAAATGTACCCAATATCCTCTTGGTTCACACAACCTTGTTTCAACAACTTGTTTCTTCATGAATCATTGTCATTTGTTAACAGCGGGCTGTGTTGCAGTTCATGAACTCTTATTCAGTAACGCTCATTTTCTTCGTATTTGAAGAGAGTAAATTCCCCTGTGAACACCCAATGACCGCTCACCTGAAGTACGAGCTGTAGTTACAGAGGATGACCTTATGCGCATGAAATTCGACGTCGTCTACTCTGATCACAGCGTCACAGAGCTGTTGTTCCAGACGGAGCTCATCATACACTGAGCTATTCTTACTCATCTTTGCTCTTCAATATGAGAACTTGTCTTCTTTATGTCTTGTGTGCAGGTTTCTCTCCTGACTATTAACTAGGGTCTATAGTTGTGTGTGATCCATGAGAGGACTCTAGAACGGATCATAATGACATCACAATATCTACTCACAATCAGGGGCCACCATTCTAATGAAATGTTCTATAGGAAGAAAAGTTCCAATCCCTTGTTATGAATATTGTACATTAATATGGGTAGATCAAGGTGCTAATTCACAAATATACAATGCTGATTCTTGAAAAGTATAAAAACACAAAATGATTATAAGTTTGCCGGAAGCTACTTCATAGGAATGCGTGGATAACTTACAGAAATCATAGGATGTAAATTAGCCATGCAGCACACCTTTGTATAGAGATTGTGTTGGATTTCAAACCTTTTTATTCAACCACTTCTATCCTTCATCCTCTGGTTGATCCATGATTGTGTTATACACATTATACACATTTTCCGAGAACGTAAAACCCAGCTAGAGTTTAATGTGTATGAAGTGATGGACAGGATATGTGGAATTTATTTACAACTATAAATAATAATAATAATAATAATAAGCTTTATTTATATAGCACATCAAACAAATTACAAAGTGCTTCACAACAAATCACACATAAAATACAAAAACAAATAACCACGTGGGTAAAAGATACAGGGGGATAAAATACAGAATATAAGAACAAGGATCACAATAAAGTAAAGGAGGAAAGGAAGATAAGACAAGCAAACAAAGTGATAAGAACGGTAGGGCAGGAATAGTAAAACGAGTGGCAGTTCAGATAAAATCTGGATATGCTTTCCAGTAAAAGCCTAATTTCCTCAGGCAAGTCGTTCCAGAGCCTGGGGGCACTGACAGCAAATGCTCGGTCACCTTTTGTTCTTAGTCTGGCTCCAGGAACAGACAAGAGGCCCTTGCCAGAAGATGTTAGACCACGGGAGGGCTCATAAGGAGTTAAAATATCTAAAATATAATCAGGAGCTAAGCCATGAATAGCCTTAAAAGTAATGAGTAAAATCTTAAAATCAATCCCAAAACAAACAGGGAGCCAGTGCAATAATGCTAAAACAGGAGTGATATGATCATATTTTCTTGTCCTAGTTAGGAGCCGAGCAGCTGAGTTCTCTACAGTCTGTAATCTATTTAGGATTTTTAGGGCAATTTAGGGCAAGTGAATTATTGCTGTTGCAATAATCAATGCGTGAGGAGATAAAAGCATGTATAACAGTTTCTGCATCTGTAACATTTAAAATAGGCCTTATTTTTGTGATATTTCTAAGGTGGGAAAAGCTGGACTGGACCAGTTTAGAAACATGATGCTCAAAGCATAACTTACTATGAAATAGCACGCCAAGATTTCTTGCAACACGCTTCATGTGTTGTAGCAGGTAGCCAGAAGAGAGCAGAATTTGATTGCAGAGATGTTGGGGACCTATAACCAGGATTTCTGTTTTTATTGGAGTTAAGTTGTAGGAAATTATTTGACATCCAATGTTTTATGTCGGTAAGGCAGTCCTGTAATGAACGCAGCATACTACGGTCGGTGGGCTGTACAGGAAGGTATAACTGTGTATCATCCGCATAACAGTGGAAGGAGATACCATGTCTGCGTATGATATCACCCAGAGGGAGCATATACAGTGTGGAAAATAAGTATTTGAACACCCTGATATTTTGCAAGTTCTCCCACTTAGAAATCATGGAGGGGTCTGAAATTGTCATCGTAGGTGCATGTCCACTGTGAGAGACATAATCTAAAAAAAATAAAATAAAAATCCAGAAATCACAATGTATGATTTTTTTAACTATTTGTATGATACAGCTGCAAATAAGTATTTGAACACCTGAGAAAATAATATTTGGTACAGTAGCCTTTGTTTGAAATTACAGAGGTCAAACGTTTCCTGTAGTTTTTCACCAGGTTTGCACACACTGCAGGAGGGATTTTGGCCCACTCCTCCACACAGATCTTCTCTAGATCAGTCAGGTTTCTGGGCTGTCGCTGAGAAACACGGAGTTTGAGCTCCCTCCAAAGATTCTCTATTGGGTTTAGGTCTGGAGACTGGCTAGGCCACGCCAGAACCTTGATATGCTTCTTACAGAGCCACTCCTTGGTTATCCTGGCTGTGTGCTTCGGGTCATTGTCATGTTGGAAGACCCGGCCTCGACCCATCTTCAATGCTCTAACTGAGGGAAGGAGGTTGTTCCCCAAAATCTCGCAATACATGGCCCCGGTCATCCTCTCCTTAATACAGTGCAGTCGCCCTGTCCCATGTGCAGAAAAACACCCCCAAAGCATGATGCTACCACCCCCATGCTTCACAGTAGGGATGGTGTTCTTGGGATGGTACTCATCATTCTTCTTCCTCCAAACACGGTTAGTGGAATTATGACCAAAAAGTTCTATTTTGGTCTCATCTGACCACATGACTTTCTCCCATGACTCCTCTGGATCATCCAAATGGTCATTGGCAAACTGAAGACGGGCCTTGACATGTGCTGGTTTAAGCAGGGGAACCTTCCGTGCCATGCATGATTTCAAACCATGACGTCTTAGTGTATTACCAACAGTAACCTTGGAAACGGTGGTCCCAGCTCTTTTCAGGTCATTGACCAGCTCCTCCCGTGTAGTTCTGGGCTGATTTCTCACCTTTCTTAGGATCATTGAGACCCCACGAGGTGAGAACTTGCATGGAGCCCCAGTCTGAGGGAGATTGACAGTCATGTTTAGCTTCTTCCATTTTCTAACGATTGCTCCAACAGTGGACCTTTTTTCACCAAGCTGCTTGTCAATTTCCCCGTTGCCCTTTCCAGCCTTGTGGAGGTGTACAATTTAGTCTCTAGTGTCTTTGGACAGCTCTTTGGTCTTGGCCATGTTAGTAGTTGGATTCTTACTGATTGTATGGGGTGGACAGGTGTCTTTATGCAGCTAACGACCTCAAACAGGTGCATCTAATTTAGGATAATAAATGGAGTGGAGGTGGACATTTTGAAGGCAGACTAACAGGTCTTTGAGAGTCAGAAATCTAGCTGATAGACAGGTGTTCAAATATTTATTTGCAGCTGTATCATACAAATAAATAGTTTAAAAAATCATACATTGTGATTTCTGGATTTTTTTTTTAGATTATGTCTCTCACAGTGGACATGCACCTACGATGACTATTTCAGACCCCTCCATGATTTCTAAGTGGGAGACCTTGCAAAATAGCAGGGTGTTCAAATACTTATTTTCCTCACTGTATAGATGTGGTAAGGTAGGTGACTGGTGCACATGCATGGTCATATGACCTTGTCATGTGACCTGCAGCTAATAAGGAAGTGGTAAAAGGTTTGCTAGTCTCAATGGAGAGTCCTTTGCTTTCCACTGAGCACACCTTGCAGGGTGACATCCAGACATGAGTGTCCCGTCCTCTGGAGGGAACTGGAGAAGATTGATGATAATGCCTGTCAGCATTGCAAGCTGTATGTTGTAGCATTGAATGGTTTCAGCTAATGCTATTTTGTTTTCACTTATGTTACCGCCTGTCTGTATGTTACTGATGCTTGCTATGCTAATAGCATTTTCTTAACCTGTGGTTTGTTCTGTTTAGTAAAGATTATTTGTATGTTTCAGTCTACAGGTGACGTGGTCACAAATCAGCGGCTGTGGATGTAGGGATCCGGAGTTACTGGTAAACGATATACATGTGCCTATCTGTGTATCTTAATGAGCCCGGATATTATTTATTTTTAGCACCGGAATCCCCCCCCACCTGCTGCATTTCTGCAGACTTTGTGTAACCTTGCAAAGTAGGCTTATATTTTATTCCTTAAATTATCTGCAAGGCACTGTAATTTCAGAACTTGCAACTAATGTCTTATGTTTTAAAGGTGGACCAGACCAACCACTGACTTCTATTTTATCCTTTTTGTTTGTTCTGTTAAATGGTTTTCCAGTAACTTAAGATGTCTGTTGCTCGCTGTAGTGTCCCATAGTGACTGGAATAGATGTCCTGTATTGGGTGTCTACTCGGTGTCATATTTGGGATGGTGGTTTAAATACAGGTTGCTCTCCTCTCTGTATATCCTCAGCTTGACTTTGTACAAGGCTGGGTCCATATCGGCAGACTGCCTCCCTTTCCGTGGTGAGACTGCACTGGGTGACATTCTGTAGTGGTGTGTATACTCAACTTCGACATTGCATGCTATTTTGTAGTGAATAATCTAGATGGTAAGTGTGTAGTGAATAGTTTAGATGTTGAGTGTATAGTGCATGTACTTCTTGGTGTTGGGTCTGCTGTCTCCCTCTTCTGTCTACCACAGTCGCTGATTGGGGTGGTGTGTACGAGCCGACTTGACCTTCCTACCTTGAGGAGAGTAACACTTTTCTTTTTTTTTTTTTTTTTCCAACAAATTTATTACCAGGCTAATTTTATTTATGCTGATGGTATTTTAACAATATACTCATAATAAAATTTACTTACTTTTGTACAACACATGCCTCTTTGTAATTCTTCCTGATCGGGGTAAATCAGAGTTCACGACACACAACCTTATATATTAAGGGTTCTAAAGGGTTCCTCCTGCCCTTATCAGGAGGTGGCGTTGTCAAGCCCAACAAAAGGTATTCATTCTTCTTTATTCGGCACCACATAGGAAACAAAATAGGTCCAAGGATTGACCTCTGAGGCACACCATAGTTGGTGGTATGGAAAGATTTAAAATTTAGAGACAACTTCCTATTGTATAAGTATGAGGCAAACCAATTCAGTGCAGTACCAGATACCCCCCAGGATGCCATGATCAATGGTGTCACAGGCCGCACTTAAATCCAGCAGAACCAGTATCGAACATTTGCCTGCATCAGCATTCATTAGGAGGTCATTAGTAACTTTCAAGAGTGCCGTCTCAGTACTGTGACGTTTACAGAAGCCAGACTGGAACTTTTCAAAGATACAATTGGTTTCCATTACAGCAAGGAGCTGCTTAGAAACCCTTTTCAAGGGTTTTTGAAAGAAAAGGCAGTTTAGATTGGGCGGTAGTTATCAAGGATGTTGGGGTCAAGGCTAAGTTTCTTTAGGACAGGTTGTACACATGCCGTCTTGAAGTAGACCGGGACACAACCTGTAGATAATGAGCGTTAAAAATTAAAAGCAGGTGTGGGCTAATATAATCCAAAGCTTCTATTAAAAACTTTGCAGGAATCCGATCAAGAGGGCTAGAGGAAGGCTTCATCTTCAACATAATTTCCATATGTTCTGCCATGGTAATGGAAGAAAAGGAACCCCAAGGATGCTGGGTAGGGTGCACAACATCTGAAAAGCTGTTAATTTCATTTTTATGGTATGTAGGATTTTATTCTGTATCACACTGTTTTGTGCATTTAGCTAAAGAACATCCAATTCTGTGAGAATATTTACCTTATTTTGACTTCACGCAAAACACACACAGCGTTTGTTCATATGGTTCCAGTTTATTGGCAGCCACTGAATCACTTTCATTACAGAAAAAACACTACCCCTACAGGTAGAGTCCTAGCAGTACAGTATGATTCTGCAGAGAGAAACATTCCACACGGCAAGTAGGTAAGAAAAGATCTAACTAATTTCTACTGTGAAGCAAATCTGGATCAAAATGTTGCTGAAATCCTTCCTGACATACAGAGGTTGTATTGAACACTTTTGTTTTTTTTTTCCATTTATAAATGATCAAGACTGAACCAAATAATGGGTGAAACTTGCTCCACTCTTTGTTCTTGAAACTCAAACATTTAGCCTCCAAGCCACAGAACATTTATCTGACATCTTAACACACCAAACACAGGCCCAAATATCTGTTTCGTGACGGCACCAGTGACTTTAATGATGATATCCACACCTTTGGTTTAACAAACACTGCTAAAGCGGCTGTGGTACACAATTTTACCTGCTGTTTGAAATATGTTGTGGTTCCAGACACCAATCAGAGAGAGGTTACTGAAAAAGATTTGCAGCAGCCTTTCACACTTGTTGCATCACCAGGTAAATTACAGCAACTGAAATCTTCTGAGTGAGCTGAGTAAACATCTCGACCTTTTTTATCATAAAACCTCTCAAATGAATTTTTGTTTCTCCATACAGACATAACTGAAAATCAAACATTAGCTATACAAATTAGATATACTGTTCTGGCCTTAAAAGAGAACTGTTGTTTACTCACAAAACCTTTGATCACTTTTGTGCCAAAATGATTTTGGGAATTTGTAATGTGTCGCCTCATTTTAAAAAGAAACCTGAGAAAGGGACCTGTAGAGGTGAATGTGTTGCTGCTTTTACTCTTTAGTAAAATCTTCCATCACTGGACATCTACACACAGGTAGGACTGAGCAAGTATTACTCATTTTAATATCACTGTGAGAATTTAATATTGTGAATAAATTAAAATGACAGTTTCAGTCCATTTCATATTACATCTAATTTAATTAATGTAACTGGACAACCATTTTTTTTATACCAAAACACATCTTATGATATTTCTAAAATTGTGATAACAATTTTAGAAAAGGGTCTTCATCTGATCAACTTTTCTTTATTTCCATATGTCACAGCTCTACACACACTAAAACTTAATTACTTTACTTTTGTTTTTCTCACCTGTTTGGCCCTGTGAGAAAATATAGTATTTTTGAGTTTTAGGGCTTCAGGTTTTTTTTAATACAACTAAAGACCAGGCAGTTTATTGGAAAGCAAACTTTGTCTTTGTTGTTGTTTCCTCAAACTTCCACAACTTTTTTTGTAAAACTCAAACCTTGTCTTGAACACTTACGAGAATAATTAGCTTTTCCAGATTACAAGCAGGTGTCCAATTTAAAGCATAAAAATGAACGAGCTCTTTCAATTGTTTTAGTTTGTAAATGAAAAACACTTGCAAATAGGGACACAGTCTACTGACTTTAAACTATGAGGATAATGCTGTCCCACACAATCTATGAGGTGTTACTGAAATGAATATGCTTGATCATTCATTAAGCAACGAAAAAGCAACATACACTGAACCCAATCTAATATTTTCTGTAATTGGACACACACATCAAAACCACCTATCTGACTATGTGTCAATAAAAAGCTTTCCCCCCGCCCACAACTGAAAAATAAAACTAATGAATGGTACATCGTCTTCACAGTGTTGTTACAACCTCTGAGCATTGTGAGAGCAATCAGCCCATCCTCTGCTTGCTGAATCCAAAATATACCACACAGAAAGACACTTTGATTGACACCTGACAACCAACATGTCTGTTTCACCCCACCCCTCCTCCTAGTTCACTGACATACCAGCATTAAAAAAAAAAAACATAAAAACAAACACGAAAAAAATTCTTTCTAAGCTGGTGGAGTGGAATCCTTGTCCGTCAAGCAGAAGCCTGAAAAATCCAGACTGACAGAGTCTCTGTTCTCCTCTGCAGAGCGTTCTGATTTCACCAAACCTCCCTTCTAATGTCCCTTCCTCCCTCTTGTCCTGCAGGTTTGACCACAGTGTCCTCTGGCTGGAGACACAGCTAGAAGTTTTTTGTGAATCAAAGGTGGCGCTGGGTTTGGGTGGGATGGGGCATTGGGGGACAGTGTATCAGGGCAAAGACCTCTCAGTCAGTGGAGAAGAGGTCTCCGGCCGAGGGGAGCGGGGCCAGACCCCCTGTCACATTGGGCAGGAGGGAGAGGTCGGGGAGACTCTGGATGTGGGACTTTAGTTCTTTCCTAACCTGGGTCACCCTCGCCAGCTTCTGCTTATACTCCTGCAGAGGACAAGATGACACAGCACAGACATGAGCTAAAAATGGTTACTTATTTACTCTTTTAAAATGTCTTGTAACGACAGCTTTCTGTCTGATAGGGTGCCACTCAATGTAATGGCCAATTTCTTTTCAGGTCCCACCCCTGGCTGGAGCCAATCCCAGCTGTCATTGGTGAACCCTGGACAGGTTGCCCATTCACTCATAGGCTGATGATACACGGGGCAACTTTTTGAGCAATGGTGCTGGACAATCTTGCTAGAGGCAAGTCTGACTATGTTTTAAATGGATAGCGGCGGTGCGGGGCAGGTGGCGGAGTGGTGGGGGAAGGGGATTACGTTAGTAATCTTTACCCATTACCACTGACAACAATGTTGCCCTGCACGATTGCTCTAAAAGTTGCTCTGTGCATCATCAGCTATAGAGACAAACAAGTCATACACACGTTCACACCTAAGGGCAAAGAGTCACCAATTAAGCTATGCTTTGGACAGTGGGAGGAAGCTCGAGACATGAAGAGAACCCACACAGACACGGGGAGAACATGCAAACTCCACAAAGAAAGGCCTGGGCCTCGATCCACAGAACCTCTTGCTGTGAGGTATCGTATCTGTGTGTCATGTTAATCTTAATTATTCTCATTTTCAGCACCACCTACCAGTTATTTTCTGGTACAGTAAAGAAGGACACTTCAAGAGGTCACTTAACAAGAGCTGCAGCTCTCGCTTCTATTTGTTGGAGCGCAGTGCGGACATACACATTTAGGCTTTCAGAGCTTTCCACCGGGCTCGGTGATCTACAGTCTGAACATTTTCCGGTTTCACCCCCAATTCCGGTATAAACTGTCACATATTGGCTGTATTTGTATAGCACCTTTCTAGTCTTTTCGACCACTCAAAGTGCTTTACACTACATCACATTCACCCACCTATGAGCAGAGACCCAACTGTTAGGAGGTTTACATTATTCTAACTTGTGATATTAAAGTTAATATGAAATTGGATGAAAATTAGAAACTTTATTTATGTTATTTAATGTCTGAAACACCTTTTGGTCTCAGTATGTGGCTTTAAAAGATGATTAAGGTGCATCACAACTTGGGTCTTGTTTGTATAGTTTTGGTCATCATATCTATCAGTTATTACTGCACTGTACTCAAACTAGCTGGTCAAAGATGAACCAGGAAGTCGGTCTATAAACTATGGTGCATATTTACAACTTACAGTTTTTGTATGCTTACCAGATATTTACCATTCACCTTGTGTTTCTTGCCTTGTCTGACTTTTATTTAGTGATGTTGCCATCTTTCCAGATGGAAGTGATTAATGGCGAATACAACAATATTACCAAAAGGACTACAAAAGTAAATAGACTTATTTATAATAAAGACTTAGTTGTAATAAACCAGTATTAAAATCAGACTGCTCACCTGTCTTTCCACTATGTTCTTGTCCTCTGTGTTAATGCTCTGACAGCCAAACTGCTGTCAGAGCCACAATTCTGACTGATCTAAGGTAAAGGCTGTTGAATTCACAGTTTGTCATGGAAAGTGCTGAATAGAACGCTTCTCAATTACTAGAGAAGGTGAATAAGAACACTATAAATATTCAGCAATAAAATGAAGGAAAATGGATTCATGCAAACTGTCGAGCTTGTATGACCAATAATTGTGTAATAAGCCATTTCCACCACATAGCTTTTGTTTACAATATCTGGACTCTTTGAGTTTTGCCTTTGTGAACACAAACCAGACCAGTAAATACTAACAAAATGTAGACATTAATGACTCAACATCATTATTAATTAGTGAAGGAGAAACTTAAACACAAAGAGATTCAGAAAGAGATCTTAGTCACAGTTCCCTGTATGTTGTTTTGTATGTGGTGCCTTGCCTCTAGTTTCTTCTCTCTCTCCATGAGCGCCTCCCTTTGACTGCCAATGTATTCAGTCAGCATGCGAGCCAGCTGCCTCCGGTCCTCCAGCTCTGCAGCCAGTCGGCCATTGTACTCCGCCAGCAGCAAACAGGCTTCATCCACAGTCTTCGAAAGCTTGTCTGCGGCCTCTTTGTCTAGATTGGCACCAAAGTGGGTTGTTAAGGTCACAGAATATGACAGTTTTTTTTAAGTTTCTTTAGGCATAACTTTTAAAACATTAAAATTTCTTTAAAAACTGTTTTTGTTTCTGTGCATTCACTCAATTTGTTTGTTTTTTACTATAATATACTCTTGTCGCAACATTTTCTTATTTCTATTTTTTATTACGGTGTATTTTGTCCTATACTGGTCAACATTTATTGTTTAATAAACTGTTTATAAAAGTTCTATACAAATACTATTATTATGATTACTATAATGTGCACATTTCAACATCATGTACAGAATGTTGCTATAAACCGACACTATAACACCCGAGTTTAACAACTGTAAATTGTTTACTTTCAGCATTGTATGCATTGTTTCATTTATTATTTTTCACTGCTCATCTTATTTGACTTTCTATTGTTCGGGCGTGGATTTGCTTTAAATGTTTTCCCCCAAAGGTGATCATATTACTTTTATCATTGCAATCTCCTATCTCATTTTCAGACAGTCCTCACTACAACAGAGACAGTCCCACTTGATACAGAAATTACACAAGAACAGCAAAACAATGTGAGAATTTTAAAAATTAAACAAATAAAGAATAATCAAGCACATGTTTTAATAATGAGGGGGAAATACCACTGCAAATCCATGTAGAAATAAAATCAATATAAAACAGAAAAGTGATCTCTTATCAAGCACTCAGGTGTTACCAGTGATTTTCTCCAGCAGGGAAACATCCTGGACTTCCTGTGGAAGCGAGGCGATCTTCTGACGAACTGCTGCGTCGCCCGATGCAGCGTTCTCCAAGTCCTGCAGGGCCTTCACCAGCTCCTCTGTCTATAAGGGTGTGTCAAAGTGTGTTTAAAGGGAATAGAGGGAGACAGTTAACAGGAGTCAAGGAGGAAGGGGGGAGTGATCAGGGAGGAGAGAATGTGACAGCAAAAAAACAGTGGGAGAATGAGAGAGATGTAAGAAGTGAGGAATGACAGCAGGGAGAGGAAAGACAGCAGAGCAAAAGGAACAGAGTAGAATGCGAAAGAAACAAACAACGAGAGGGAGGACTTTTTTTCAGTATTTTGTGCCATTCAGGTGCAATGTTGACTTCCTACCAGCTGAGTAGCGGAGATGTCCGTGTTGCATGGGGAGATGTGGCTTCTGTAGTCGTCGTCTTCGTCGTCTTCCTCTTCCTGGATCTTCTGATAGCTCCGTTTCACAGGCTTCTTCTCTTCTGCAGAGTCAAGTTTAGAAACCGAGGAACAAACATCACTTAAGTATGTAGTTAATCCTCTATATATATATACTATAGATGAAACTGACCTCTTTACAATACCACCAATTTCATGCAATTGTTTGCCTTTTTTATCTCTTTTTATGTTAAATAGACATTCCCCCCAAAAACATAACTTTTAGGTTATTCTGAAACAAATCCATTTTCCATAGACATTTTATAAAAGTAAGTCACCATTCAGCTATTTCTAAATTAATGTAATCAAAACTCTGAATGTGATATATTTGAATATCAGTGATCCTGGCCCTGCTTGGTTTCAGATCAAAACCAAATTCCGTGGTATCACTTACCAGTCACAAATACTGTATATATTCATGTACAGGCGTAACAAAGTGGTTAATCTCACCTGAAGGCCTTGGGCTGTTGGAGTCTTCTATGGCCAGTTTGAGCTGCTGAATGAAGTCGGCTCTGTAGAGGCTCCTCTCCTTCCAGATGTTCAGCAGTCTCTCCATGTGCTTTTTACAGCTCTCATCTGCTTCACTGTAGGGAGGACGGGGAACAGCAGAGTTCAGCAGAGGACGAGATTATTTTTACCCCTCAAAACTCCTTTAGTAGATTTCTTTGCAGAAAATAGGAAACAAAAAAGGAAAGAATACAACAAACCTAAGATGTAGAAGCAGGTTTTTAAGAAGACCAGATTTAGATGCTAAACTATTCTTAAAAAGCTTCTGGCAGCAGGCCTACCACCTATCTACACACACGTTGACCCGCTCACAAACACACGCACTTTTCACACAGCACATTGTGAGGGGTCACATTACATCTACCTGGCAACATGGGAGCAGGCATCGACAAGGACAGACTCAAAGTCTTTGGTGAACTCCGGTCCTTTCTTCTTGCTGTTCTGGATGACATCATTGGCGAGATAGAGGAACGTCAGCTTCCTGTTGCTTTTAGCTGGAGGACACATAAATCATGAGATTTCAAGATTAAAAAGGAAAGAATACTTTATCATCAGTCTGTCTTTTTGGAGCTACTTTTCTTCAACATACCTATATATTCTACTTCAGTAACCAATTTCCCAGTATGTTAAGTCATTATAGCATTTTTTTTTTAGTCATGCCTCGTTACTTAAAAAACAACAGCTTTTCTGTGTGTATTTCTGATCTAGCTAGGATCAAGCCCTCTGCATCTCAGATTTGTTCAGCCATTCAAATAATTAATACTTTATAATAAAATAGAACACACATCAATAAAACCCTTTTCAGTAAATGCCATTAACTTGTAGGTATGCTATTACACACCGTACCAAACATTTTCTGGTCACAGTGTCTCAAATGTTAAGATTTGATGGCTTTTTCTTAATTTCACACCTTTATAAATGAGCTACTTGATCACTTAAGTACATTATTTTGGACTCCTTACTTGTGATAGCATTTATCATTATTTATCATCTCTGTGTGATTTCTGAATATTTTTGGACTATTGTCTTATCACACTCAGGTTTGAAAACAGCTGTTGAAATCTGAGACAAAGTCCTCTCTATAACAATTTCAACCTGTTACAAATGGATAATCTAAGTTACTAGCAGCTACTCTTTATCAGATGTCCTAGATGCCACATTACATTACATACCTCATCTATGAAGTTTCACGCTACCAGTATTGTGTTTTGTTGCAGAAAATCAACAACATATATTAATATACTTGGCAGCACTCACCTTTTTTCAGCTCTCTGTGCCACACTTTGACGATGAGGCCAGAGTGTTTGCGGTGGTGGATGATCCACAGAGACAGAGTCTGCACGCTCTGCTGCGAGCTGCTCAGCTCCGTCAGCTTCTTCTCCAGGGCCGACTCAGAGAAGGACGACATGCCGGTGTAAGTGTGTGTTTCCCCTGTGACCCGACTGACCCCGACCCGCTCTAAAGCGACTGAGCTCCGACCTGGTTTGGAGAAACTCGCACTGTCATCAAAACTGAAGTTGTGTCGGTAAGTTAACTTCCAGACATGCAACATCAAACTGCCTCCTGCTCCCCGCTCCACCTAACCATACGTTTCTAACGTTAAGTTAGCTCTTTATCTGACCGAATTATTGACCAAATCTAACGTTACTGAACAAACCTGCAAGGTCTAAGCTCGTTTATCACCTGCTTCTGTCTGTAGTGTTTGTTTACAGCCAAAGCTAACGTTAGCTAGCCGAGCTAAGCAGCCATCTGCAGACCAGTGCAGCCCTGAGCTAATAAGCCTGCGCTTTAACCAAAAATCAACCTAGCGTCTGTAATATTCATGTAGAATATGTCTCCAGTACGCCGAGAGATGAAACAAAACTGCTAAAGAGTGACGGTGAAACTCACAGTTTGTGTTTGCTTGTCTAACTAGGAAGATTCCTTCGAAAAAATGGCAGCTTGCACTTTCACCTCAACATGTGCGTCGCACAGTAGTGACGTAAACAGAGCCAGGCATCCCTTTATCCAGGGATGAAAATATAACCCCCCCACCCCCCCACCCCCCATGTAAGGATTTTCTTCAATGTTGTCAATAAATGCACAATGTGTAACACTGATTCAGAATCAGATTGCCCCCCCAATTAAGTACATTTCTGACTCATATACAGGAATATTTTCAATACAACTGGGCATTCTGCTGCAACTGTGGGAAAAGACCATACAACATTAACTCCTTAGTGTAAATCTCATATTGTTCATAGGCAAATTTCACATACACAACATGGTAATATATTATATTAAAAGTCTTCCTCTAATCTATTTTTGAGATTAGATTTTAATGTAGTTTTAGTACATAGGCTCCTTAAGACTAAGCCTCCCAAACATGTGCATTCATTAGGCTACTGTAATGTAAAGACTTGTTTGATCAGTTTAAAGTACTATTGTTAGATTTGTTTACTTTATACTTAGTATATAATAATAGTGCACCATGTAGAATATCTAGCAGCTCAAACAATGTCTGTTTGTTGATTTTGTTAAATAAAAAAAACACTAAAAAACTGATGCAACTTATTTGGATTATTGATTTTATGAAATAGAAGCTATAAATATGTTTTTATTTTAGGTCTTTTACTTTTGTTACGTGTTTGGGTTTTCTCTTCTTAATTTACTGGAGGGGGTTCATCATACAGTAACTGAATGCTGTAATATTATATTAAATAAACAAAGTAATGAATTGATCATTTAGTTGAAATAATCAGGTATAACTTAGTTATAACTTTTAAAAACATATGATAAAACATGATAAAATGGTATGATAAATGAAAATATTTTTGATTGATGAACCTGAAACTAAGATGTATTTATTCTTTTGTTGTTTGTGGATTGTGAGGTTTATATTAAGGAGTCAGCAGCACATTGAGACTGCCTAAGAGTTTTGACTACAATCCTCATCAACATATTGTAGAACTATTATAAATTATAATGACGCTATAGTCTACAAATGACTCCTTGATTCACTCTCTTAATAAATAATAGTGCTGGGCAGAAATCTCCTACTATTTGAGTTTCACAAAGGTATTTGTTTATTGTTTGTTATTTATCCTGAAACAGGAACATATTTATGTATGAACTTGATTTTTGTAGGTATGTATATAAAGGCATCACATTTCAATCAATTCAAACATGATTTTGAGATAGAACCTTCTGAGTCGTAGTTTGTGATTGTAACAACAAAAGAGCAGAAGATCAGGGGGATTCAATCAAAGTAGAGAAAGAGAAAAGGCATCAAAACAATCTGTATCTTTAAAATTAAAAAATAAAATTTAAAACATTCAATATGATAGAAGCCCAAAATAGACATTTTTCACAGTTTATAAACATTGACAGGAAAAGCACAGGTGTAAATATTAACATTAATAATGTTGATTCCACTTGATGTCCCAGGGCCATACTGTGCATGCTGGCTCACTGACATGATTATTTGCAATCGCTCTGTTATTCATAAGAAAGATGTGTATTTAATCTTATAATAAAATAAATAAAAGATAAAAGATATTACCAAACACTTTTTCTGTTGAAAGTGGGAAAGCTTAGCACAATGCAAATCACTAAATTTTTTGTTTGTACAGACATGGGAATTTACATGCCCATTTGCCTCCATGATACTGCGGATGGCAAAATGCACAATATTCCTTTCAAAACAATGGGTTTGGGTCCTGGACGCAGGTGTGCATCAGGCAAATTGTATGTAAGTACAACAGGTGTGTTTAACAAAATGAACCTCAAATATCAAGCTCAATTTTACCTTTACTTTTCCTGCCATGACGCCTGCAAATACTCTGTCTTTGTATAGCGCTTTTACTACATTGCATTCACCATTCACACACATTCATACACTGAGCGTAAGTGCTCAAACGGAAACTAACGTTCACACACATTCATACACTGGTGGAACAGCCACCAGGGGCAATTTGGGGTTCAGTGTCTTGCCCAAGGTACTGAAGGACACTTCGACATGCAGCCTGGAGGAGCCGGGGATTGAACCGCCGACCTTCTGATTAACGGGCTCTACCTCCTGAGCCACAGTCGCCCCTTATGCAACTGATTCACTTACATGGGATGCAGTCATTATTGTTGTTAATTACACCTGTACTTTTCCTGCTATGACTAGTAAAAAATGTCTGCTGTGAAAAGTCACATTTGATTTTACCACTGCTTTCTTCTGTTTGCGAGGGAATCATCAGTGTGTGAAATTAGAAAATAAAACATTCATACTCATTCAAATGTCCTAGAAAGCTATACACTTCTGTGTGTGATGTTTAATTATTATGGTGTCTGACTTTTTCTATCATGATTTGCTTTCTTTTTAAATAGAAAACTTAATTCTTTGCGTTTTTTTTTTTTTTTTTTTTTTCTTACAGATGAATTTAACTGCAGATGTGAGAAATGATAACTGACTTGGAATATCGTGTAGCAAGGGTCTTAAATTTGGAGGGGCATCATTTCTAAATAGGTCCTATGCTAAACATAAGATATTAAAAATGATAAAATAAAAATACAACAAGATTAGATGTTTTTGGCCTTCTTGAACCTGCACATTGTGTCATGAGTGACCTGGCAAAAAATGACAGCATCAAAGCATCAACTTGTTATTATTCAGTTGAAGTGTACATAAAGCATATTTTAATTCTGAAGTGACCTTCCTGATAAACAAAAACATTGACCAAGAATGTTATTTTGAAAATCCTTTAAATTTAGACTCAAATTAGACAAGAGTTTGTTCTCAATATCAATCTTTTTAAACAGCTTTAATAAACTGAAACAACTATAGATCAATAGAATAAAACATCACTCTCCCTTTTTATGGCTTATTACATTTATGCAGTTGATTTTAATGGGGGGGAAACTCCACATTCACACCAACATGCAAATACGTTTCACTCAACCAACACTCTCCGGAAAGACGCAAAAGTGTCATCTCATCCCTCCCTCCATCAATCCACCCTTTTTAAAAGCAGGTCCTGATCCGTTTTGCAAACCACACCAAGCTCCCAAAGAAGCGCTGTGTGAGGTGGAGATAAAAGTATGGACATGTCCAGTGCTGTGTTTCTTTCCTTAAGCTGGTTGATCCTGCAATTAGCTAATGGGGAACTGGATTACACCTCTCACGGACAGGGGATGCAACTGCGGGGCAACTTCACCATTGCTGGACTCTTTCCTCTCCATAAGGCAGTTGCACCAAGTGCTAGTTTGCCTGCTTTGGTTCCATGCGATGAGTGAGTTTTACTGTTTTACTGGCCATAAAACTTCGAACTGGTTAAATGTATCTTGCTGGTGGTCTGGACTATTCTTGTTCTTACTGTTTTACTTGACATGTCTTAATTCATTTTCCCCTTTACACGTTACCTTTTCTAGAGGTCCACCTAACAAACACGGATTTCACCTGATGCAAGCTATGAGATTTGCTGTGGAAGAAATCAACAACCACACCGGGCCGCAGCCTCTTTTACCAGGGGTGAAGCTGGGCTACCAGTTGTATGACACCTGCTCAAAACAGGCCAGTTTCCTGGCTGCACTGGACCTAGTAAATCAGCAGGATCAGAGCCCCTTTATATATGGGACAGAGGGAGACACAGACCCAAACTACAACAACAGTCAAAGGGCAGTGGCTGTGATTGGGCCGGACAGCAGCAGCAACTCTTTCACCCCTGCTGCTTTACTGGGAGCCTATCTTGTACCAGAAGTAAGTTATTACCTGGAAAGATTTGATCATGGCCCTTGAATTATTAAATATTCCACATGACATGAAAAGGTGCACATACAACATCGAAGCATCCCTCACATGCTCTTGCTTTATTTTAGATCTCTTATGAAGCATCAGGGGAATCACTCAGCAACAAGTTCCTCTATCCATCCTTTCTCCGCACTATTCCCAGTGACAAGAACCAGGTGGCAGCTATGATCCAGCTTCTGATTCATTTCAACTGGACCTGGGTCGCTCTCTTAGGCAGTGATAACGCCTATGGCCTGGACGGAATGCAGAGCCTGTCCCAGCAAGCACCGCAGTACGGCATCTGCATTGCCTACCAAGGAGTCATCCCCTCGTCCACACCTGACACAGTCCAGACCAGGAGGAACATGGTAGAAAGCATGCTGAAGACAAAAGTCAACACCATTGTGGTCTTCTCCAGCAAGACAATACTCAGTGGCTTCTTCCCGTATGTTGTTGAGCGGAACGTGACAGATAAGGTGTGGATTGGGACGGAGGACTGGTCGGCGTCCTCTCTTATATCAGGGATAACTGGGATCCACACCATCGGCACTGTGATCGGCATATCCATCAAATATGCAGCCATATCTGGTTTTAAGGAGTTTGAGAGAAAGGTATTTCAGGCTTCAATGCAACACAGTGACACCCAGAAGGTGTCTAATGTTACCATGAGCTCAGACAATGACTGTCTACAGAGCACAGACCTGTACAGCCTCGCCAGAAATAATTTTTCGCTGGATACATATGATCTCACCTCCTGCTTCAATGTGTATGAGGCGGTGTATGCGGTGGCACATGCATTGCACCAAGCACTTGGTTGTGATTCTGGAGAGTGCCAACAGAGGAACGTGTATCCATGGGAGGTGAGCAGATGTAAACTTGTCTGTTTAAGATGAGAATCTCTCAGAACCACTTAGGCACTGATGTTTCCTTTTTCTTCTCCCCACCTCAGATTCTCTTGCGGCTAAAGCAGGTGCGATTCTCTCTGGACAACACCTCAGTGTACTTTGATGCGAATGGTAATCCACCTGAAGGATATGACATTGTAACCTGGGTTTGGAGGGGGACGCAATGGTCTGTCAGACAGGTGGGCTCTTTCCGCCCAGATCCCATTAAGCTCATCATTAATGCTGATCAAATTGAGTGGCCCAAGACTGGAGGTTCAAGAACAGTAAGATCTACTGAAGTATTTTTGAGTGTTTGTAAAACATTTGTAAAGCTTAAAAACTCTTCAGTTTTTCAAAATGAAATGCTGTACAAATATAACTATTAGTAAGAAATCTGCAAAAGGGTTATGAAATTATAAAATTATGAACATGAATTAGTTCTGATTTCAAAGAGGCTGGAACAAATCAGTAATGAATAATAATCAGAAATGGCAACTGAAACTTTTTAATTAAATTAAATTCATATGCAATGATAAAGTGTTAATTCTTGACATCCCACTGATAAATGCTGAACTTTCAACAGTTTGCACCATATTAATGGAATGAATTACCAAGGACTTTAAAGTTATAATTTTGGACCTTTTTTGGAGATGTACGTTTCTGATGCTGTTTGTAAGTGCTTTTGTGTGACTGGCTGTGTTTTGTTGTGTTTCTTATCTCTGTTCTTGTTTCCGGAGATTCTGATCTCAATGAGATTACTTAATCAAATAAGGTTAGATATGACCTTTGCCTAACCCTGTTGGTTGCATCCAGGTGCCGCTGTCCATCTGCTCTCCACCTTGCCCGAGAGGCTACAAGAAGCTGCTGACAGGCCAACACACATGCTGCTTCGACTGCCAGGCCTGTCCAGCTGCTACATTCCTCAAGATACACTCTCTGTCACCTTTTTTAGGTACACCTGTTCAATTGCTTGTTAATATAAATATCTAATCAGCCAATCAAATGGCAGCAACTCAATGCATTAAGGCACGTAGAAGTTCAAACCGAGCATCAGAGTGGGGAAGAAAGGGGATTTAAGTAACTTTGAACGTGGCATTGTTGTTGGTGCCAGACTGGAATTGAATTTGTGCCAGAATTTGGCGTAAACAACATGAAAGCATGGATCCATCCTGCCTTGTATCAACAGTTCAGGCTGGTGATGTAATGGTGTCAGGGATATTTTTTTGGCACACTTTGGGCCCCTTAGTACCAACTGAGCATTGTTTAAATGCCTACCTGAGTGTTGTTGCTGACCATGTCCATTCCTTTATGACCACAGTGCACCCATCTTTTGATGGCTACTTCCTGCAGGATAATGCACCATGTCACAAAGCTCAGATCATCCCAAGCTGGTTTCTGGAACATGACAATGAGTTCACTGTACTCCAGTGGCCTCCACAGTCACCAGATCTCAATGCAATAGAGCATCTTTAGGATGTGATGGAGATCCCTGGAGATCCGTGGAGATCCGCATCATGGATGTCCAGCCGACAAATCTCAATCAACTCTGTGATGCTATCATGTCAATATGGACCAAAGTCTCTGAGGAATGTTTCCAACACCTTGTTGAAAGTATGCCAAAAGGGGGTCCAACCTAGTGTCTAATAAAGTGGCCAGTGAGTGTGTGTGGTAATGTAAAGACAAAAAAAGGTCAAAGCACCAGACAAATATTCAGACAAAGAGGGAAAGAGGACAGATGGGAAGAGTTCTTAGATGAGATATTTGCTCCATGTTGGACGAAATAACAAAGAGCAAAATCACTTTGTACAAATTGTGAATGTCATATCCTGGTGGGTGCATGACAAAGATGATAAATTGAACAGGCCATGCAAAATGTTGCTTATAAAACCCAATCAAAGGTTGTGGATGTCAGCATCATCAGCTGCAGGTGAGTGAATGTATGAAGCATGTGGTAGAGGTTGCTGTGAAGTATAAAAGCTAATAAACTCAAAATAGACGCCCCACTCCACCAGGCAGGACAAAGGTCTCAGTGACGAACAGAGAAGAGGGGACAGTTCATCCACTGATTTGTGTCTTTGTAATTGTATCTTGAAATTCTGTTATTTTCTTCTTCTTCATGATATTTCCCTGTTGAGTCCAACAGGAATCTAGAACACAGCAGTATTTTTCAGCTGTTGTGTGTGAGATTGACCAGCAGGTGGCGCTGAGTATTCATGCTTTATGTCCTGAGGCAGGCGCCAAAGTGCCTAACAACATGTGACAAATGGGTGCTGTGTGTTTTCGCTTCTACACCATAACATTTTATCTTGATTACTCACCAGTGTTAAATTTACCTTTGACAAAAACCAAGACAGGCTTTTACACCCCAGTTTTTCTCTTTATTTCAATGCTGCTCCTCTTCTTCAGATTCCACTACATGTCAGCCGTGTCTCCCTGAGCAGTGGGCTCCCCCAAGCAGTGAGCAGTGTCTGAACAGGACTGTCCTGCTGCTCGCCTGGGACGACCCCCTCTCCATCGCCCTGCTCTTCTTTCTGGCCACCTGTCTTCTCATGACCTCCAGCTTTGCAATAATCCTGCTGGTCAACCTGAACACGCCCGTGGCCAAGTCTGCCGGAGGCCGCACCTGCCTCCTGATGCTGGCAGCCCTGACTGCCGCCGCTATGAGCTCTTTGTGCCACTTTGGCCAGCCATCTCATCTGGCCTGCATCCTCAAGCAGACTCTATTCATCTTCAGCTTCACTGTGTGCCTGGCCTGCATCACAGTGCGCTCCCTCCAAATCGTTTGCATTTTTAAATTTGCATCCAAGCTGCCGCCGGTCTATGACAAGTGGGCCAAAAAGCATGGACCAGAGTTTACCATTTTCCTATTGTCCGTCACCATATTGCTCATATCTGTGGTCCGTGTGGCTATCCACCCTCCCCAGCCGTCCCGGGATCTTGACTTCTACGAGGACAGCATTGTGTTGGAGTGCAGTGACACCCTCTCACCTGGTGCAGGCCTTGAGCTGGCTTATGTGTCATTGCTTAGCGTCCTCTGCTTCTCTTTCAGCTACATGGGCAAAGACCTGCCAGCCAACTACAACGAGGCCAAGTGTGTCACCTTCAGCCTCATGGTGTACATGATCTCCTGGATGACCTTCTTCACTGTCTACCTCATCAGCAGAAACTCGTTCACCATGGCCGCACAAGTGTTTGCCACGCTCTTCAGTGTTCTGGCCTTCCTCTGGGGCTACTTTCTGCCCAAAATTTATATTATTGTCCTGAGGCCGCAAATGAACACAACTGCCCATTTCCAGAATTGTATTCAAATGTATACCATGAGCAAACAATGAAGCTTGTAATTATTTTAATTGATGAAAACTAGTTGATGTGTAATGATGCAGGCCTACCAGGTAAAATAATGCGATTAAGATAGTTTGAGTGTCACTTTTAAATCTATCTAACAACTGAGTTTAAAGTGCTATTTGTATATTTATAAATAAAGTATAAACATGTTTGGAAGGTTCTCCAGTCAGTGCCGTTTGACCTGGCATGGCATTTCAGTCTGGAGTTGGTCCCCGGGCACTGTACAGAGGCTGCCCACTGCTCCCTTCAGGGATGGGTTAAATGCAGAGGATGAATTTTGCTACATGTATGTGTATGTAACAAATAAAGTATGTTTACATCTCAGACAAGTGCATGATTTTGTTCTGAAAAATGGTGGTGACATAAAGGCTCAGATTAGAGATGTGACTATGTACAATATTGGGTTCACAAGAACAAGATGAGAAAGTATTTTAACACTACTTTGAAGAAATAATAAAATGCTGATTGTGGCAGAAGATTTTGAGCAGAATTTAAACAGATACATTCCTGCATTCTGGAGAAATTTTCTGCACTAATTTATGGTGGAAAATAAATTATAATTAAATTAATATAAAGAGAAACACTAAATTCAGGTTGCAGGTGACAGTAATCAGCAGCTTTTTTTTTTTTAGCTTAAGTTACTTTTTTTGGACAGTGCACATTTGTTTCTTCTATGTACTTTGTATTGCATGTTTTTTGTGTGCAAATAAACCTTTCACAAATCATTTTTATTTGTTATTTAACTTTTCTTGGTGCAAGCTATTTTTCAAAACATTTTTACCAAATGCTTTCAAAAAGTAGTGGGGACGAAACAAGCCATTTCAAAATGTGGTGGAGACATGGCCCCAATGTCCCCAGTATAAATGACATCTATGGTCTCAGAGAGGTCTCAGTAGAATCCATTATAACTCCTCTTGGAGCAAAGATGAAAACTGTTAAAATGCCCATGAAAAGTGAAGGCAGGCATGACTCATGACCAACTGTAGCTCCAGACATTTGTTTTTCAGCTGAACCCAGGTTCCCTGATACAACACTGCAACATAACAGACAAGTAAATTAAAAAACAGGAGTCAGTAAGCCTGCATTTTAGTTGCAGAAAAACACATGTAATGTTAAGAGTGGCTCTTCTAAGTGTCCCAGTAAGCCACGACAGTGTCACAATGTGTGTTTACAAGCGCACACGTATCCTGGTTAAGATCATGTATCCTGGTTAAGATCAGGTTTCTGGAGCGTCCTGGTTATGAGATGCACATGTAAACACCATCCTGGTTTCAGACAGCTGGATATGAAACTGTGATACTGTGGCATGAAAATACCTTATGCAGAGTTTTGATTATTTTTTGTTAGTACACAGTGTAGTGAAGGAAAAGAGTGCATGTAAGCACTCTCAGTGAGCCAGCATGCACAATATCAGGACACTGAAACTAAAGAGACAAAACGGAATTCAGCCATTGTTTATTTTATTGTTCACCAGTGATTTTTCTACTGTGATATATATATATATATATATATATATATATATATATATATAATTCATGAACCAAACAGAAAAAGACTTATTGACAGCTAAAGTTTACATGTCATCAGCACAGACAGAGGATAGAAATCAAGCTGGCAGATGACTACCATTACTGAGCAACGACACAAAATAAATGTGTGCTGTTGGAAAGAATAAACACCATCCCCTGGCAGCTGTACTAGGGACTGTCACACTAATACTGAATGTTGGATTTTTTAAATGAAAACAAAATAGATACATAAACTAAAGACAAAAATACCACGAGTGTGAGACCATTTCATGTTTCCAAGGAAGTTTCACTTCTTTCAAGAATATGTGATGCTGAAAAAAAAATCGTAGAAAACCTCACTAGTGTTAATAAAATCAAGATAATAATCTTGATCAAAAAGTTCATGTGTTGGAGAAAAGACAGCCATGTCTGTCTCTGTTGTTTTCGAGATTTTTAGACTTATCATATCATATTTCCAGGAATCTGACAACAAGTGGCAGCTGGTCACAGCAATGCAGCATGACGTAACATCTCATTGCATATCTAATTAATGCACAATTGGTCTGTCTTGGGTCTGTGTGCAATCACACACACACACACACACATACACACACACACTCACACACTCACACAGTGCTGTTGTTGGTTGTTGTTTGGGAGAGGAGAGATGAAAAGGCCTTTTGTGGCTGGGAGGTCAGCGCTATTGACCAGTAGATGTGTGAGTAGAGTCCGAGCTCGGTTTTCCCACAGTCTTTCCATCCACTCACAGCTTAATACCCGGGGTCAACAATAGAAGTGTGCCATGGGTGAACAAGCAGGAGTGTTATTATCAGCACACCAATAAGGTGGTGTTGGGATAATGTCTGGAGTTTTATTTGACAAGCCTTTTGATCCACTGCATTTTGGAAAATGTATGTTCATCATCTCACAATATTAAAAACATGTATGTTTCATCTGAAGATCAAAAGCCTGAAGAATCTTTCTCACACTTAGCGTGATTAGAGAAGTGAGGGGTAGAGTTAGTCTGACAGAGACAGTAGGACACAACAGGTCCCACTTTACAAACCAGAAATTTTAATATATGCAGAAACATGTTAACTCATTTACATGCTGCTTGGTATCAGCAGAAGTCAACAGCCACTAGGCTTATTTAATTCTCCTTTCTTACTCCAAATTCAACAAATCACTGTCTAGATGTCTCATTTGGAATGAAACTTAATTTGTAACAGAGACATTAGAGGATGTATACTGATGTTTTTTGCAAAGGATTTACAGGAACAACATGGACAAAAAAATATATTTATCCAAATTACAATAATGTAACATTGAAGAAATGTTTAAGTTGCAAACTAGCAATTACATCTATAAAAACATGCTTACTTTTACTACAATTTCCCTGTGATGCTACCAATGCATTAAATACTGTTTAATTATTCCCTGGGAGCACATCAGAAGATGCTGCCTGTGGTCCCCTGTGTAACTGGAGTGTGAGATAAGCAGCTGCCCTTGATTAGAGACTGACAGCATATAATTCTCAGTCTGATATTTATCTTGGGAATGGTTTTATCTTTACTGGTCAGCATGTGATTGCTTCACCAGTTATTGATGTGTGTCCTGTTGTTATAAACCCCAGCCCTGCCCGAGACACATGGCTTTGTTATGCTAATCACTCACTATAAAATGAAGAGTGGCTCTTCCAAACAGATCAGAGCTTACAGTGTCAGCAGCTAACTTCACCTGCACAGAAATGGCTCCCTGTTACACAAACTGCTCCTCCATTCACCACATTAGGATTTCTGAGAAAGACAACATCAAAGTATGTACTGGAGGGGGTGGTAATGGCTTTGCATCAGCTGGTACAGTACAAATGTCTGGTTGATTTTTTGCTGAATTTGAATCATGAGCTTACCTGCCTGTCTCCTCTTCCCCAGTTGAGAAAACCTATTGTGGAGAAAATGCGCAGAGATCGCATCAACAGCTGCATCGAACAACTCAAGATCATTCTGGAGAAGGAGTTCCACCAGCAGGAACCCAACTCCAAGCTGGAGAAAGCCGACATCCTGGAGATGACTGTGAGCTTCTTGAGGCAGCAGCTGCAGCAGGGTCTCTGTCAGAGTGACTACAACCAAGGCTACTCTCACTGCTGGAGGGACTCTGTGTGCTTTCTCTCGGCTGGATCCAACACAGAAGCCTCTGTTACTCCTCTGCAGGGCCTCCAGCAGCAGAAGCAGCAGCTCCATCAGGCCCAGAGAGCCAGCAGCTCCTCCCCAGCCTGCTCCATCCTCAGGCCCACCACCCTGCAGGACAGCAGCAGCAGCAGAGGCCCCGTGTGGAGGCCTTGGTAGAAACACACAGACACTTTGAGACCTGAGGGGACCTGCACTCCTCACCATGTAGGAAATGTATTTCCAGCCTGCTCATTCATAGTGTCGTTGAGTGTTTTTAGTGTTTCATCATATTGATGAGAAGATGTGGAAGACTATTCTCTTAAACAAGTTCATACTGGAGACACCACACAACACTTACTGCACCACTGCTCCTTTATGATATCACAGTTTACTGTAAAAAGTGTTCCTTTATATACCTTGAAACATCTTCATTGTTTGAAGTCAAACTTCTGAAGTTAAACGTTTCTGTCACATTGTGTTTGAAATATGTCTCTTGTGAAAGTATTTGACAATACCATGTGTGCCAGTGTAGGTAATTTGTGTATTCTATTGCAATGCATTATATTGGAATTAAATGCTGTGTGTTGAAAATGTAATTTGTGTTTACCATAAATTAAATTTCGATTCAATAAAATATATTTTTTACTTTTCTATAGTGTGAAGATCTATTAATTGTGAATAAGGTATATATGCTATTCAAAAATAACAATGACTTTGTATTTTAAGTGTGTGTGTATATATATTCTCATGACATTGTGGCTAATTTAGTTATTAACATGGTATAATTTAAAATTGGGTTATGGTAACTCTTTGGATGTTGTATTTGGTAAATACAGATAAAATTCGTATTGCCATGTGTGAAACTGATTCTTTCAAGATTTAAACCTTCCTTTAGTTTTTAGTCACAAATATTATTTGTACAACACACACTCAACATGTCATTTTTTTGTGTCATTGTGGGATGATGAGATGATGAAAGGAGGGACGTGCGTGTATTAGTATTTTGAGTCCTGAAATCTGTTGCTTCCTGGATCAAACATCACATGACCTTCCCCAAAATAAAGTCAAGCTCAGGGCAATGGTTCATGATGAAAATTGGCAAATATTTTACTCTTGGTTCACGTAATAAAAAAATCTGGACAGAGTATTTATTTCAATGATTGAATCTTTTTATTGTTAATTGTCATACAAATGTTAGGAATTAGTTTTAAGAGCCTAAACGTGATAGCAAAACAGCAACATCAACATCCCATTAAAACATGTTAATATGTTCATTCATTTTCACACACACAAACAAACACACATTTCATTATTATCATCCTCTTACATAAAATTTGGCATAGATAATTCAAAACAGAAGAGAAATATTCTCAACAGCAGCTGTCAGTACAACACAGTATGGCAGATATACATTATATACTGTTACATCAAGCAGTCCACAGATACACTCCACTGGAGTAAACAGTCATTTCACAAGATTTGACAAAACCATCATCACTCAAAATTAACCAGCAGCTTTAAACACAAAGGAAAAGCAAAATCAGATGTGAATCAAAGTTAATCAGGACAATCTTCAAATAAGTGAGAGCCTTCGCTTTTACTACTTATCCATCAATGTGATGAGACAATAAGGAATCCCACTATGAATGAGCAGGCTGGAAATACATTTCCTACATGGTGAGGAGTGCAGGTCCCCTCAGGTCTCAAAGTGTCTGTGTGTTTCTACCAAGGCCTCCACACGGGGCCTCTGCTGCTGCTGCTGTCCTGCAGGGTGGTGGGCCTGAGGATGGAGCAGGCTGGGGAGGAGCTGCTGGCTCTCTGGGCCTGATGGAGCTGCTGCTTCTGCTGCTGGAGACCCTGCAGAGGAGTAACAGAGGCTTCTGTGTTGGATCCAGCAGAGAGAAAGCACACAGAGTCCCTCCAGCAGTGAGAGTAGCCTTGGTTGTAGTCACTCTGACAGAGACCCTGCTGCAGCTGCTGCCTCAAGAAGCTCACAGTCATCTCCAGGATGTCGGCTTTCTCCAGCTTGGAGTTGGGTTCCTGCTGGTGGAACTCCTTCTCCAGAATGATCTTGAGTTGTTCGATGCAGCTGTTGATGCGATCTCTGCGCATTTTCTCCACAATAGGTTTTCTCAACTGGGGAAGAGGAGACAGGCAGGTAAGCTCATGATTCAAATTCAGCAAAAAATCAGTCAGACATTTGTACTGTACCAGCTGATGCAAAGCCATTACATTTTTTTAATTTAACCTTTATTTAACCAGGAAGTCCCATGAGATTGAAAAATCTCTTTTCTGAAGGAGACCTGGCCAAGATGGCACACCAGTTACAATTTAAATAGAAATACAGAGTAGTAAAAACATACAGCAGCACACATAAAGTTAAGGGACCAAGCCAGGTCACATGTGGCAGTTACATTGAAATTTCCTTCAGTACTTACTTTGATGTTGTCTTTCTCAGACATCCTAATATGGTGAATGGAGGAGTAGTTGGTGTAACAGGGAGCCATTTCTGTGCAGGTGAAGTTAGCTGCTTCTTCTGGAGGGCAGTGTTAGGTCTAATGTCTCTGGGGGAGCTGCTCTTCAATTTATACTGAGGGATTAGCATAACAAAGCCATGTGGCTCAGGCAGGGCTGGGGTTCCCACACTCCCACCAGTGGGACTCCCAGCACAACAATGGAAGACATGTCAATAACTCAGAGAGCATGTAGCTATCTGTGCGATGCATGTTTGTCCCAGATAAGCAACAGGTAATTAACACCTTATCAAGCTGTCATCTGAGAATTTCTCATGGATTGCAGATCAGAATTAAATTTTTAGATGTAAAATAACGGGAAGTGATACACACAAAAGTGAGCATCTTCAAAGGGGTGGTAACTGCAATTAAGGGCCAAACGCCAGTGCAATAAAACAATATAAGCTGAAGGCTTTCATTTTCTCTTCAAAGATTCCCTTCCTCCAAAAAGCATTTTGGTACAGACAGGAGCATTTGGACACATGAAGTGTTTTCAGAAGAACAGGTGACTCTTTTTTTGTTTGTTTGTTTTTGATCACAGGCTCATCACATTCAGACTAAATAATGTTTAAAATGAGTAGGGTTTCTGAAAGAGAAAGGAGGGAGCACGCAGAGAAATCATCAAAGTCAAAGAGTGACGTCAGGCTGCAGGTAAAACGTTTCATTTTCCACCTGTTGCTTTTCCAACTGCACGCTGCTTAACGTTACAGTTCATCCTTTCTCTCCAGGCTCGTAAATAATGTCTGAAAAAAGACAATGATCAAAGGCTACTGCTGACTCCCGTCCCATGTGTGAAAGTGGCGCACGTTCTCAGTGGCGCGAGTCAAAGACCGCGTGCTGTGCAGAAGCTCAAAGCGCAACAAGTGATCTGGTGTGCGCTTTAAAAAAAGAAAAAAAAAGTTTGTTGCTCCCGTCATGAAGAACAAACAAGGACAGGGGCGCAACCAGAGAGAAAAAAACAATTCCCTTAAATAATCAATTACACAACTGAAGCCCTACATGAGGAGAACAGACAGGTAGGCTACAACGGCCTGGAAATAAGTCAAGAATATGATGTTATCTATTCCTGAGACTTGAAATCACTTATCCAAAATGTAACCTATTTCTAGGTGTCAGTGTGAAGGACTTACACCTTAGGAGATCATTAAGAAAGATGTCTGTATATAAGTGCATCCCTCATAGAGATTTAATAAGCAAAGTTTAAGTAGCCTAATTAGTTTATCAGTTATTTTTATGTATCAGTAATTTCGGTATTTGCACATTTACTTCAAACATTGTATAAAAGTTGCTTTCACTTAATCAAATTAAGTGTTTTTAATCTTAGTAATTTAGTTTCCATGCTTGTAAAGATGTTTTTTTCAGGCACTGCACTGCATGTTCAGTTATGTGTGGTGAAACTGATGACACACATTTGGATTATTGTTGTTTTTAGTCACATATTAGTCACTGAGTTCTGATGAAAAACTACACACCCTTTAATCAAGCTATTGTCTTACTTCCCCCGAGTGACCCTGTTGTAAATGAACTGTGTCAAATTACTGTCAAGTTAATGGCAGTATGAGCGCACTGGCAGTGTGCCTGAGGGCCTCCATCACTGGCTGGCCCCAGATGTGAAGCCCGCCTTGTGGGTGTAGTGTGAGTAGCCCTGTCTCCCCAGTTTCCCACCAGTCCCCAACATCAGGGTAAATGAGCTACAAAAGCCATGCCACTCCTCAATGCTCCACTGGGAATGTTAATTGATCTTTTGTTGCAGGACAAACAGAAACTCTGTGTCCTAGTCCATCTGGGAAAAATCAAGTCAACTGGCTTCAGTGCCTGGCACAGAGCAGTCTGTCTGCCCTTAGTCTGTGTTGACTCTTTTAATTTAACATTTCAGACACCAATCTACAAAGAAGTACTCAAAGTTTTAATTAAGTCAAATTAGAAATGCCACAACAGAAATAGTCAATTTCAAGTCCTCCATTCAAATATGTTACTCAAGTAAAAGTTAAGGAAAGCAGAGAGGATCCACATACTGGCAACATTTCCAAGTCTATGTCAGGCGAAGTAAAAGTAAACAAGTACCAGCACTAAAAAGTGCACAGAAAAGGTACAGATTAAGAGAAACATACCTGAAACAAGTATTAAATTATGAATGCATTAATAGGTATTTGGTACCTGGTAGGTTAATCCGTAATGAAAATCTACAAAGTTGGACATAATGAAATAATGAAGAACCACTAAATTGAATATGCAAGTTGACAAACATCAGCTTAATGATTTTCACACTTTTCACACATACAAGGCCTGACAACAGCAACTCTTTATGAGCTTTGGTTGAATGTAAAAGCTTTATCTATAATTAACCTATAATATAAGTACATCTGTGAAATAAATCAAGTGGAAGGTATTTCAAGGCAGTTTACTGATTTAAAACAGTGTGTAAAAGACAAAGAGAAGGAAAACAAACTAACCTGAAATAGAAAAACAAGTAAGTACAACATCTTCCAAAACAGAAATATTTAAATAATACAACAGCAGTTGAGGAAATGTACATATCATCTGTACAGATGTGAGGTTTTTGACCAGACCTGGTGCTTTAAATTTTCATCAAGTCACCTGCATCACATCCACATCTCAGCACTTCTTTTCTTGCTCTTCATTCGCATCTTTAGGTATATCTAACTAAACATCTCTCTCCCTCTAAATTCATGTGTGTAGCTCTCGTCATCATTGTAGCATTTCTGTCACGTCACGT